GGGGGCAGTAGAGGGGACGGAGAGCAGATTTGGATTGGGGTCATGAGGACACTGGGGAGAAATTGGGGGGGACATGGGACTGGGAGTGGGGTTGTGGGGCTGGAGGGCACAGGGGGAACACGGGGGGGACACAGATGTGGGGCCCACGCGGGCATTATGAGCACAGGATTGGGGTCACTGGGGAACACTGCAGGGGGGACAGGGAGTGAGCCCAGAATTTGAGCTGGGGTCTGGGGGGACCGGGTGGACACCAGGGGTGGGGGACATGGGACCGTGGGAGCGGGATTGTTGTTCTGGGGCACTGGGGGACACTGTGGAGTCCAGGAGTGACCCGGGGTTTTGGGGTCACCGTGCCAGGATGTCCCCAGAGGTTTCCTGGCCAGAGCTGCCTCACTTCCCTGGTCTGACCCCAGTTCCCCTCCCCAGCCAGTCACAGAGGAACCCTTCCTGTGTCCCACAATGTCCCCTTTGTGTCCCCATAGTCCTACACTGATCCACGTGGCCTCTCTGCTCCATGGCCCCCCTGGCTCCGATCTTGGCACTGCTGGCAATGTCCATGGCCATTTTGGCCATTGATGTGGTTCCCATGGACATGGCCCCGAACTCCTTCGATGACCGGTACTGGGGCTGCCGTCACAAAATGACCCCGGAGTTGCCGAAACTCAAGGATGCTGAGCTCCAGCGGAATACTCTGTTCGCCGAGGCCTGGACTCAGGCCGAAGCTGAGTGGCAGAGTCGCAGGTCCACCCCGCCCCCTCTGTTGTCCTTGGACCAGACTATCGCCCTAATTGCCTATACAGGGTCGCCGTCATTGTACAAGGAGTTCAATGCAGCCGTGCGCGAGGCCGGACGCTCTGGACAGCACTACCGGGACAACTTCCATTTCAAGTCCCTGCATTTCCTGCTGACCACTGCCCTGGACTCACTGAGGGGCGTTCAGTGTGAAAGTGTGTACGTGGTGGAGGGCAACATCCAGTTCGAGACGAAGCGTGGCGAGAGAGTCCGGTTTGGTCAATTCATGTCCACAGTGCCCAAGGCAATGGTCTCTGAGGGAAATGAGAAGGACACATCCCTCATGGTGACCACCTGC